CCCCCTGCCTGCAGGCTGCCAGGCCTTCTCGCAGCCTCAGCAACGGGGTACGGTCTGGCGACGGCGACCCAGAGGCGCAGGAGGACCCCGCGAGCTCCCCTTGCAGCAACCAGGGAACCAGGGAGACGGCCACCGCGATGCACGTCCCAGCATTCGAGGGGCGAGGAGGGCACTCCACAGAGGTGCGGGGCGGGGAACATGTGCTCCCTGCCTCCAAGTCCACGAAGAGGCGACGTGGGGTGGGACCCCAGGAGGCCTGCCCCTTCTGCGGCCACCTCTACACCGTGCGTGACGGGCTGTCGGCCAAGGCCAACACTGCGGGGCAGCGCTTGCATCAGCGCAAGTGCCAGTGCCGGAGCAAGACGCCGCCCTGCAGGTGTGCGCGGGGATGCAGTGGCTGATGCGCTCCCTGCTTGAGATCCGGCGGGGGGAGGGGTCTGTCCGATTGGGACGGCACGAACTGCTCGTCGGGGGAAGGGGGCGCCGGTCATCTGTGGTGTTCAAGGACCTTGCTGCACTCTCCTGCAAACTCCCCCTCCCGCACTTGCTGTGCAACCCCTCCTCGTGCGCCCAGGAACTGCCCCAACTGCAAGGTGGACGCTGCCGTGATGGCCATCACCGATCCTGATGCTCAAATGGCGGCGTGCGAGGCCAAAGGCTGCGCCATCTGCTCCTGCCAGTGAGTGAGGGATTGTGCTATTTGCGACTGTCTGATTGTATCCTGCTGAGGGCTTGGTACCAGGTGAAGGTGTGCATTGAGAAAACCCTGGAGGGACAGGGAAGAGGCCTGTGGAGGCAGCATTGGACCATCTGCAGAAGGTCTTGGCTGACCCAAGGCAGTGCACAGTCCACATTGCGATACCAGCGCCTGCTATGAATGACCGCTCAAGCTGCCTGCAGCCCCAGCTTGCACTGCATGCACCTCTTCTCAACCCTGCCATTCCGCCCCTCGGGTACCTCCCCACAGATGTCCTTCGGTGGGCAAGTGGATCGAGGGCGACGCGGCCTCACGCAAGGCCTTCAAGGAGCGCACCGAGCGCCGCGCCGAGCAGCTGCACCTCCTCAGCCTGCGGCTGGTGTCGGGGGGTGGCGCGGCAGGGGCAGGGAGCGACGGCCTGCCCTGCGACCCGGCGGCCCTGCTCCCCCACATCGCCTGCCCCGCCCACTCGGGGGGTTGGTCCGTGAAGCGGTTGCCCGCCGACATCCGCTCCAGCCTGAGTGCGCTGCAGCAGGAAGCGGCTGCCAACGGTGGGTCAGCTGGCTGGTCAGGGTGGGTGGTTTGTGTGCCAGGCGGGAGGGCTGGGTGCGCAGTGGAGATCCAGGAGGTTGGCCGGCATCTCTCGTGGCGAGGGGCTGGATCTGGGCGGCATGCTCTGGAAACAGGTCCCTGCCTCGCACTCGCATACATTCACAGGCGGCCTGGCAACCTGCCCTGTTCCTGTTTGCAGGCAAGAAGAGCCCCAGCGCAGGCGGGAGGGGGGACCAGACCCCGACCGTGCGCGGCGCCTGGCCCTCGCTGGATGCGAGCGGGGAACCGATCCTGGACGGGGCCGCTGTCGGCCTGCCCTCGGGCGCCGCCGGCCCCGGCCCTGCGGCCCACGACCATCGCAGCCGTGGCGTGGACGCAGCCGCGCCCGAGGGCGCCCCGTCGCGCCCTCACCGGCCGCAGGAGGACGCGGCGGCGCCACAGCACGAGCACCACTGCCCCCACCCGCACGCCGACTGCACCTCTGCCTGCTGCAGCGCCCCCACCGGGGACGAAGGCGCCGAGCGGGAGGTGCAGGGCTGCAGGCGCCAGACGCAGGACGGCATGAGCCCGGGGGCCTTTGCCTCCCTGCTCCGTCGCATGTTCATGGAAGCGCGGTCGGGCCCGTGGTTCGCCGGCGCGCGGCCGGCGGAGGAGGACGGCGCGCGCGGCGCGCCGTCTGGGCTGCCTGCCTCCGTCCTGCTCCAGCCCCAGCCTCGGGTCGGGTCGGGGCGGACCCTGGAGACCCAGGACTCAGCGCACTTCTCCGCGGGCGTGCCGGTCGCACACACGCTGCCAGGCCCAGGTTGGTGTCGTGGGCCGCGGCGGCGACGAGGATTGTGATCTGAATGGCTTGCCTGCACAACACTCCTCTCAACACCAAGCTGCCTGCCTCGCCTCACTCCTCCCACTCCTGCGCCAGTCGTGGAGCTGGCGCGGTCGGTGTTCGAGCCTGCGCTGGGACCGCCCGCGCTGCAGGCCGTGTGTTCCTTCCTCAGCGCCCAGTGCGTCTCTAGCCTGGAGTGAGTGAGGAGAGGGCAGGTGGTGGTGGGGTGGTGGGCGGGTGAGATTCAGCACCTTTTTGTGGAAAAGCCATCTGCACTGCCGAAGACAGGTGAAGGAAAACTCTCTGCTAGACATCCTACAATAACGCCATGGCACAAAACGCAACACCCGCACTGTCCACGATTGATGTCTCCCTGATTCCCCGGCCACTCCTGTGCAGCGACCTGGAGTTCCTGCAGCTGGAGTGGATGGTGACAGCGCTGCACCCCCATGGCATTCCAGTCCTGCTCCTCAACAAGTTCCTGACGCTGGGCAGGAGGGGCGCCCGGCAGGGGGCCGGGCTGGCGGATGCACAAGTGCCCGCCTGACGCACTCCTTTAAATTGTGTAATCACTGCATCGAGTACCGAGCATACGCCCCTAATCTCTGCAATTTTTCAAATGTTTGGCAGGTCTCGGCATTGCAAGGCTGCATCCGCAGTTGCCGAGTCTTTGACCCTTTGTCTCAGACAAGTATCACGTCATCCGTTTTTACCCCTCGACTCCGCCTGCCCTGCGAGCCCAAATTTCGCCCCGTTTTTTTGAAAGTACTCTTCAGGGGAGGTGCCCCAACACCCTTTGACGCTGCTCGTGTACTGCTGTGTGTTGCTATTTTGGACAGAGGGCACAGCCGGCGCTCAAGAGCAGAAGAGGGTGGAGAGGTCCTGCAGCTGCTGAAGCAGGGCATGTGGACATCACCTGGAGGCTTGGAGAATGACGAATGATGCTTCCATTCTGCCTCCAGAACAATCCTTTCACTTGTCCTCCAACTCAAGGAGGCAGTTCCCACTACAGGACAGGTATCTCCCGGCTACAATGGCTCGACACTCAAAAGTCCAGCCATTCTCGGTAGTAGTTGCAGGTGCTGGGAGAGATGGGGCCCTCCTCCACACAGTCATGGATGATGGGGCAGACGCCGCAGGGGCAGGCGGTGAGGGGGGTCGATTCCAGGCCGTGATGCAGCGCCTGTGGGGTGCAGGAGCACAGGGGCTGAGCTCGAGACCTCTCTGATTTCAGTATGGGGACCAGGATATTCGAGTGAATCTCAAGATGGAGCAGAAATGGGTGGCCTTCACAGGGCAGGATTTAATGCAGGCATTCCATTGCGCGCCGGTTGCAGCCCTGCAGGTTCTCAGGACCCCACTTTCTATCCCCACCCCTGCCGGGGCCGCACCGGTCGGTAGAGGAGGGCTCCCTCCTCATCCTCCTTGCTTTCCAGCTGACCATCATACACCAGATTGTTCAGCAGCAGTGCCATGTCGTCAGGCTGCAGGGGCGTGGAGAGCGTGCAGATCTTGTTCTCCTCCACAAACTCCAGGACCTCGATGGCAGTGCACACCCGCTGGTGGCGGATGAAGCTCATGACGGCCTGCACGGGTTGGAGTCCATTCCACGGTGAGCATGGGTTTTGAAATTGCCAAAGGACATGCTGGAGGTGGCAGTGAGCTGCATCACCGGGGCTAGGCAGGACTCCCTGGTGTGGCGAGCAGGACGCCAGCCTCACTGATTATGAGATGCAGGCTGAACCCTTGATCTGCTCATCCCAGTAGTACCCCACACACTTCCTCCACCCTACCCCTTGCATCTCGACGATGAAGGAGGCGTCCAGCTTGCCGTCATCCCCATACCAGGGCCCTCCTGTGATCTCCTTGGCAGGCTCCAGCTCAGACAGCATGTACATCTGCGAGGGGGAGGATGGGAAGTGACTGTACGCAGCGTGACGTAATGATCGCCATGACACCAATTTTCGCTTCATCCCTACGCCGACAGGATGAGCACCTGTTGCAAGGACAACTGGATCTGGTGCAGGCCAAGCACCAAACCCTGCATGCACCCCAAGTCAATCTGGACTGTCTGCCTCCCTGTTCCTCCCTCCCTGTGCCAGCCATGTGGCCCTTTCTTCCCTCCAGCTGAACAACACACCCTGTCCCCAGAATTCCCACCTTGCGCGACGCATTCTGCACGCTCTTCACGAACTTGATCATGCCCTTCTCCTCCAGAAATTTCACGATCTTGTTGATCCTGGGCTGGGACAGGTTGGTCCGGCGTTTCATGTCCTTGGTCCAAATCCCTTCAGGGAGAGGGGGAGGGAAGGGAGTGGGTCCTGGGGAATCTGGATTCTGAAACATAACAGAGCTGCAAGGACCATCTCAGAGGCGTGTATGAGGCAGCCACTCCATAAACTCCTCGCAACTCACCCACATTCCCAGCCCTTGCTATGCACTGGTACAGGAGGTGGTCCTCGGTTGACAATCCTTTCAGCCTGCGTTGTTAAGTGGGCGAGTGTTGTGCAGCCGGAAACCATTCCTTGGCTGACCTCCCGATGTGCAGGCCCCCCAGGCTGCAAGCCCGCCCTGTATCGCTCGCGACACTCTTCCCGCCCCACAGCCTTACTTGATAGCGTCCTCCTTCTGTACCATCTTGTAGACATGACCCCCTCCTGTGGCCGCCATGAGGATCTGAAGCCGATGTGTCTGTGGATTGGAGTGGCAGGGGAATGGATGGAACTCTAGCACTCATGAAACACACATCCCCCCAAACGCTGGACATCCCAGCCCCTCTGAGCGGTGCCTCTGCAGGTCCTCGCATGCCCAGCTGCCCACCCGCAGGAGGGAGTTGATGGCTTGGGCTCGTGCCTCCATCGAGACTCCCGGCAACTCCACATCCAGTACTCCATCAGAGGCGCCCTGCGGACAGCATGTACAGGGCGTGCTTCTCAGTGCGCGGCACATGCCTATGAAGTGTTAGACCTGGAATCTTATGGCAACCGGAACCGCACCGTACCCCCTCACACAGACGGACCTCGGGGTAGCGCCGACACGCAGCGAGAATTTGCTCCTCCATGGCCAGCGCCGTCCCGCTACAACGCCAGGGGCTCGGCCATGCAGTAGGCTAGTGTTTCGGTGGTTCTAAGATTTCGTTCTGTTCGCACAGGTGATTCCTGTTGAGAGATGTGTCGTCAGGGACAGTAACAATCAGATTCTGCTGCTCTCGGGAAAAGAGTCGTCGTGCTTGCGGTGCCCAAGGGAACTGCCTCAGCTTTGTTGCTTGCTGTTTGGTGTTCGTCGATTTTACTTTAGATGTAAACATTCGCTTCTCATATAGCAATTTGGGAGCATGCCTTGCATGATTCTGAGAAGCAATGTCGAGGTACACTGTGCGCGCGAGCGCGAGAGTTCACCAGGTTGGCCGTACTCCCCATTGTCGCTCTGCACCTGACCACCAACTGTTCCCCAGACGCATTCATGCACTCACAATCGCAGGAATGAAAGCCAAGTCAGTACATCTGATACAATGTTTGCAATCAGAGGGAGTTCTTGCCTAGTCCCCTGCTTGTAAGTCTTGCGTTGTTCCCCAGAAGCCATCCACTGCTATTCGTGACCGAGTCTTCAGCATCAGCTTCGAGGCCTTCACTTCTGTTCCAAAATTCTCCAGGAACTGCATGGAATTGGATAGCGAGGTCGTTGTGATTGTGGGGGAGCTCTGCAATGGGCGTATGAAGACACGGTGAGAGCAATTGGCCAGAGGACATGATCTCACGCCCATGATGCGTGTGCCCATGCAACTCTATCCGCCCTCACCACCCATACTCACTGTCACAAGGAGATCACAGAGCAGGCCGGGGGAAAGGGTTGTCAGGTGCGCATGTGTGATCAGGAAGGTCACATCGTAACCAGCCATGGGGATTTTGCGAACAATCCCCAAGTCCTCAGCTCTGTATGGGATTTTTGGGAGGGGTGTTGGAGGAATCCATGCACGCAGAAGTCCATCCGCAGTTTGTCTGGTTTTGGAGTTCCTGTTCTTCATCCAGCCGCAGGACTGCACATGTTCTCACCGCACCTGTGCATGAGGAACTTCAGGTGGGTGTCGATGATGCACCTCTCCACCTCGTCCTGGGCCTTGAACCTCAGGGAGATGCGAGAGGAGTTGATGGAATGCTCCACCAGGCATCCCTCCTGGGCGCCGCGGGTAAGAACGATGGGCGCGGCGATGAGGGCGTGGCCCGGGCCCTCCACCTCGATGACGGGCTTATTATGTCCTTCCACATGGGGTGAGGGGTAGTCCATCAGGCACAGCGCCTGCGTGATGGCTTGTCGCACTTCGGCCAGGTACGTGCCGCGAGTGGCCGAGGCCGTCATGCTCGCGACGGTGTGCTGCGACCCGTCGCCCCTGCGGCGCCGCTACCACTGCCGATCGTGCATTCCGCGCTGTTGCTTGCCTCGTTCAATGGGGCGAAAGTCGACACACCGTCATGCTGGTGCCGCGATCGCACACCGCTGTCGCCTCTTATTCAAACTTCCCGGATCTGGCGCCCACGCCGAAATCTCACCCCTGCGCCATGTTCCTCAAAGAAGCCCAGGCCGTACAGCAAGCGCCCTAGGATGCGTGCATGCACCACGCCTGCTTCATCAGGCACCCACGGTAGCTGGCACCAGGCCCACCGCCGCCTCCTGCAGGCTCAGCTGCACCCCCGCCACCTGGCCCACCCAGGCATCCAGCCGCCCCTTCAGCCGCTGCACCTGGTCCATGGTCAGCACCCGTGGCTGCACCCAGGACACCTGCACGGTGCCAGCCACCTGGTCGATGACCCCCTCCAGCAGGTGCAGGCTCAGCGCCTTCATGAGCAGGAACTCGACGCCGTCCAAGGGCAGCTTGGTGCGCTGCCCGATGGCCTCCAGGGTCAGGGTGCGGTCCTCTGCAGGCAGGCTGCTCACCATCTCGGTCAGGGACAGGATGGTGATCTTCTCCCGCAGCTGCCGCTCGTGCTGCACCAGGGCAGGCTGTGTGTGGGAGGGGGTGGAAAGCAGGAACCAGTGAGTGTATGGGAAATCCTTACCCACGTGCTCCTCAAGGACAGGGTGCTGAGCTGGCAATCATGCCTCAGAAGATGCGCTGTCCTATTCCCGCCAGGGCCCACCTGGGCGTTCAGCTTTGCGGCATGGGTCACACACAGCGAGTCGTAGCCATGGATGTCGCCTGGGCAGACGGGGTGAGGGGGAGGGGAGACTCGTTGACACCTTGCAGACGTGGTGCACATCAGATGTGGCAGGAGCCATGTTGCTGAGGTACCTGCCTACCAAAATGCACGTGCTCATGGGACATCACCAAGCCCATTGATCACACAGATTCCTCAGGTCCCCCGTTGACCATCCCATTAAAATACTGATCAAAGGCCATACCATTGTTGAAGGCCACCAGGAGCTCATACAGCCACGCGAAGGCGCTGTTTTGCAGGACCTCCACCTGTGCGAAAGGAAATTGGTGCATCGACATAAGGAATGGAGGAGAAGGATGTCGTAGTCTCATCGACCACCACACTAATTCAATGTCAACGGAGGAACACGACAGCACATCCTGTACTGGAGTATAGCAGCTCAGCATACCATGCATGAGCAGCGGTACACACAAGATTTTGCACATGGGACCCCCATCATCTCCTGCCATCGACTCACGATGGGGTGGAGGAGCAGCTCCCCAAAGCTGTACACCGTCTTGCCAAGGAGTGCAGCCAGTGATACATCCACCGCCAAGGCCTGGAGGAGCAAAGGGAGTCGGGTAGCTGTGAGAGATGCTGCCATCCACATCCGCTGCCACGCCTTGGAAAGGTGTGCAAATCTCATACAAGGGATTCAAAATCCAGAGCATTGGGCGACCTATATGCCACCCTACCTTCCCATTGGTAGAACTCATCTTCTGTGCAGCCCCAACCCACCACCTCACCAGTCGCGTGTCGGCTGGCAGGGTCTCCTGCCGCACATGCGCAAGGTACAGCAGGGCAGCCTTGTAGAAGTCGCCGTACTGTTGCTGGGCCTTGTGATGACTCATGGCCACATAATGGACGGCCGCTGAGACTGAGGGGTCCACCTATCGCAGCCAGGCGAGGAGGGATTGGTGGTTGGCGCAAAGGAATGCAGTGGGCTTCGGCTCCAGATTTTGCCTCTGAAATGAGTACATGCAATGACTATGGTTTAACAACCCTCATCACATGTGCGCAACAACCACCCCCCGCCAGGAATCCCATCACGGGTGTAAACAAACGCACCTCTTGTAGGCCTTGCAGCTGCTTCTCCCCTGCCTCCAGGGCCTTGTTCGCCTCCTCCCAGCGCCCCGCCGCCTGGTCATACTGCGCAACGTGCATCTTGAGGTACAGGATGGGCTGTACCGCGGCAGCCAGCTTCAGGTTCTCCAGCCCGGTGATGACATCCTGCAGGAAAGCCACGCCCTCCTGTGGTACGTGGCAATGGTGTGGAGGGGAAGGGGCTCCATAAGATGGGATGGCCTGATATAAGGAAACCTTTCTGGGGTGAAAGCACCAGCATCCCTCCTCGTGGCCAGCCTCGCCCCAGGCCAAACTCCTCGAGACCCTGCCCAGCACTCCCACGGCCCTCACGTCGGGGTTCTTGATCTGCTTGGAAGCTGCCACGGCAAACACCGCCAGCTTCAGCAGGTTGATGTGCGGCGCAAAGCTGGCGATGAAGTTTTGGTAGAGGGCGATCAGCACCCCGTCCTCCTGAAGGCGAGGGGTGTTGATCAGCTCCTCCAGCTTCACCGACAGCTCATGCCACAGCTTTTTATGATAGAGCTCTCCTAGTGTGGTGAGATCCTCTGCCAGATCAGGGCGACGTGATGCGGTCTCCTGCAGGTAGACCTGCTGGCGATCCATGGCTCCTCACAGGTCAGCTGTTGGTGTGGCGCAATCGTACATGCCTCGTGGCAATGGCTGTCGAGACGACTTGGTGCTCGCGGTGTCTGCGCGAGGCCCAGGGTGCGCCTTCCATGACCAACGAGAGCCAAGCATGCAGTGCCTGCTGAGGGTGGTCCGGAGATGATGCACCGGCCCCCCATGAGGGGCACCTGTGCGCTCGGCCCGCCCGATGTTGCTCTCCATCCCATGCCTACTGCGTTGCTCATGCATTCTGGAATCTTGTATGCAGTGCGTTGCATCCTTGCGCTGCCAAACTGCCGGTGGTCTCCAAGGCAGACACCCCTCGCTCGGAAGGTGCACACACGGAAACAAGACAGTGGTTACCCAGGTGCGGGGTTAGGAGGGTAGGGACGTGCCGTAATGATATATGTCTGTGTATGTGGATGCTCCATCAAGCACCACTCTCCACATTCTGTCGCGTCTCTGGTCACCCCCCCTGGAGTGCAATTCTAACCACATGCAGGAAGACAGACACCCCTGGCACGGGCCAGGAGCACCTCTCTGCCCGCTAGCCTCCTGCCTCCAATGTCTCTGTCCGTGGTGTGTTGGACCATGGGCCAGCTCGTGATGGTGTACAGGGTGGCAGGCACTCATTGATGCTCCTGTGGACTGCACCTCAGCTCATCCTCACGCTTTCCTCCCACAGGCCGTGATCGGCACTGGGGCCGGCGGCCTAGTGACCCTGCGTGAGCTCCTGAAGGAGGGGCACCAGGCGACGGCCTTTGAGCAGGCAGAGGATGTCGGGGGCGTCTGGGTGTATACTGAGGAAACCGAGACCGATCCCCTCGGCCGAGACACTGGTGTGTGTGCGCAGGAGGTGTGCGGAGGTCTCCATCTGTGTGCTCCATCACGATGTGCAACTGGCTAGCATTTGTGTCCGAGGCAGGCCGGGACGACCCTTGCTGCCCCTGTAAGGGTGTCTAGCAGAGGGCTGTCAAATACCGCTCAACAGACACCGCGCCACAGACCAGCGTCCCCACAATTCACACCGCAGGAAGGAGGCAGGTGCACAGCAGCATGTACGCAGGACTGCGAACCAACTTGCCGCGTGAGGTCATGGGCTTTGGCCACTACCCCTTCACCACCACATTCCCAGGGTCGGCGGACCCTCGGCAGTTTCCCACCCATGATGAGGTAAGCTTGTCAGGGAATGGAGGCAGGGGCTTTGCCGCACAGCCTCTGGGCTGCTGCGGCCCAAACTTTGTACTTCTGACTCTGCGCAAGATTTTCCACAACCGCTGAGCTCCTCCTCCATGCCCTCCCATCCGGTGTGTAGGTGAGGAGATATCTGGCCGCCTATGCGGCAGAGTTTGGTCTGGAGCCCCACATCAGATTTGACTCCAGGGTGACCCAAGTCAGGCAGGAGGAGGCCTCAACTGGGGAAGCTGGCGCGCCACCACGCTGGAGGGTGTCGACTGCGTCTTCGAAAAGCCAAGCAGGGGCTGGTGTGGCCAAGCAGGAGGAGCGCCAGGAGACCTTTGATGCCGTGGTCGTCTGCAGCGGTGGGTGAAAGGGGGGTAAGGGTCGCCTCTGGGCCTCCCTGCTGGCCATGCATGTCTGAGTCGAGGCGTCGCCTTCAAAATCCATGGTGTTGGTCGCTGTGCCCCACCGTCTTGCACGCTGGGCACTGCCGCACTTACATCAGCCCATGCAGACAACAATCCGTGTTGAGGCTGTGTCCACTTGTGTCCCTGTGGAGCCCCGAGCCATGTCCTCCGCACCCGGCTCCTCTCACCCCTTGCTCAGATCCTCTCTCCCTGACCCGTACCCACAACCCCAGGCCACTTTTCTCAGCCTAAAGTTCCTCAGCTCCCGGGGGTGGAGTCCTTTCCCGGGCAGCTGTTCCACAGCCACAACTACCGCCACGCCTCGGATTTCGCGGGCCAGCGTGGTAAGCTGAGCTAAGAGAAAGGGAGAATTTTCGGTCCATGGATGCCGGTGCATGATCAGACTTTTCACAGATTGGAAAGGGCATGAGCGCCTCTGTTTGTGCGAGAGCAGGAGGGGATGCCATGGCGCTCGGCAGTGCTCCGCCCCACAGCGTCTGCCACATCCCTGTCCTGACATGGTCGATGCAGCAGCGGGGCCATCAAGCCGCCACCACACCCTCACCCCTTGCGCGTGCAGTCGTCCTGCTGGGTGCCGCTGCCAGTGGGAGCGACATTGCATTGGAGCTCCTCGGAACCGCCAAATGGTGTGCTGAAAACAGATGAGGGTGTGTTCTGGACACTGGTTGGCGATTGATGCAGTGCCCCATCTGTTTGGCAGCAGCCAGGAGTCAGCCTCACCAGCTTGCCACTGAGGCTCATGGGCATTGCCTGGTGTGCCATGCGGGCCCTGCCTGCCAGCCAGTCTCTAGCACCCCCTTTCAAAGTTGTGATGCTGGCCATAGTTTCCAACCCTCCGGTCTAGTGGCCCCACGGCAAGTGCTCGTTCGCGATTATTCCAGCATTGCGTCTCCCCCTGTCCGCAGGGTCTACCTTTCGGCACGCAGCTTCAGCAACCCGCTGACGGGGGAGCCCCAGGCGGCGGCCGTGCACAGCGACGACGAAGCGGAGCATGCCAGCACAGGCGCAGCGCAACGGCATGTGACGAAAGTCAGCTGCATCTCGGCCCTGCACCCAGATGGGTCTGTGGAATTGGCAGACGGTACGCTGCTTCCTAACATCGACACGGTCTTGCTGTGCACAGGTGTGTGGGAAGGACAGGCAAGGGTTGGGGTTCATGTGTGGGCGGCAGAGGTTGGGAGGTTGGAGTGGAGGGGGTGGTTTGCCTGGGTGTGCGATGGTCTTGAGAAGGTAATATTTGATGAGATGAGGAGTCTATGCCAACATCTCCTAGAGGGGATGGTTGTCTGGCAGATGGATCTGTAGAGTTTCTCCTCGAAAGAGTAAGAGTCCAATGTGCAACCTTTGCCATAGAGGGTTCCTGCTTCTTGACATCAAAGTTCGTAATCTAACAACTGCCCTATGAACCCCCACATTGTCAGGCTACAGCTACACCTACCCTTTCCTGGAGCCGGGCCATGTGACCGTCGATGACGTGAGGGTGCGGCCCCTGTACAAGCACCTGTTCCCTCCCGCTGACGCGCCACGGCTGTCCTTTGTCGGCCTCTGCTTCAAGATTGCGCCCTTCATTCAGTCCGAGCTCCAGGCCCGCTGGATAGCTCGGAGTCTCTCGGGCCGGGCGCGGGCGCTTCCATCTGTCGAGGTGAAAATATACTGCCAGGGAGGGAAGGCTGATGTTACAGCAAAAGCTTGCATTTTTAGATGCTGTTATGGTTAGCAGACATCTTGACTATATGCTCGAGCACCTCGAAGCGAGGTCCATGCCCAGCCCTCACCCAACATTTGCCTGCCGTCCTGCCAGGAAATGGAGAGGGACGTGCAAGCATTTGATGCAGCGCTGGAGGCGGAGGGGATCCCCCCCCGCTTCACGCACCGCTGCCAGGGTGAGTACCAGTGGAAGCTGAACCGAAGCTACAGCGAGGCAGCCCAGGGTGAGTCGCCTGATCGTGCAGATGCATCGATGTGGGTTCTCATGTACAAGGGGCATTGGGTAAAAGTGCGGAGCGACCTCAGAGCAGCGTCACGCTTTGCAGAGGCCTCCTCTTCTTACATAGCAAGGCAGCACATCAGATTTGTCACCCAGCAAGCCCTTTCACGTCGCGCTCAGGGCCCATAGTTGGGAGCTGGCGGGAAGAGGTCTTCAACGCCACTGGGAAGCTGAGGACGGACTTCCCCGAGACCTACCGCAATGTGGGAGTGGGCGGCGGCGACAAGTGGGCCCTTGCCGCCGCGGCCGAGGCTCAAGCCCTGAGCGAGTGGGAGGAGGGGGGCAGGAAACCTCTAGGAGAGTGAATGTGTTTTTATGATTCCTGAAGTCCGGGCTTTCAGAAGCGCCCCCCACTCTAGACATTAACCCCATGAACACTCAAGACTCGACGGCGGGCATGCTCGCCTGCTCCATACATACGTTCATGTGATTCTCTGCTTGATTCTGTGGGGCTACTGTATACCTTCCCAGCACTGTGATATCCATTCTTGCCAATGATAAAGCAGTTGAAAAGCAGCATGTAAGAAGTAGCAGATTAAGAGGCTGGGAGGCAGGGGGCAATGCGCGCCAGGTGCATCAACCTGGCAGCGCTCTAAAACCGGCCTCTCCTGCCGCCGCCACCTCTCCTGCCGCCGCCGCCACCTCTCCTGCCGCCTGGGCTACCCCGTCCAAAGCCTCCCCTACCTCCACGGCCCCGCCCGCCATCGCTCCTCTCTCCCCTACCTCGGCCTCGGCCCACTCCCCTGCCTCCACCACGGCCCTCTCCCCGGCCCCTGCCGCGGCCATCTCCCCTGCCTCTGCCGCGCCCTCTGCCTCCTGAAGCCAGCGCATGCTCCTCGCCGTCGCTTGCTTCGCTGTCGTCGTCGCTGGCGGCGGCACGGCCGTCCTCCGATCCGCTCTCCTCGTCGGACGCGCTCTCCTCCTCCTCCTCCTCAGCCCCACAGTCTGCGGCCTGAGCCGACGGGCGTGGCCGCCTGCCAGCGCCCTCCTCCTCCTCGTCATCAGAAGACAGGGCGTACTCGTGCACCAGATCGTCGACGCCGTTGGAGGCACCAGCGTTTGTCGCCGCCGCCTCCTCCTCTTCCTCCTCGTCGCTCCTCGGCTTAGCCGGAGTTGGCAGCAGGCTGCCGCTCGGCACAGCCACCTCCGCCTCCTCCTCCGCAGCCGGCCCGTCGTCGTCCTCGTCGCTGCCGTCCCCGCCCTTCCGCCGGCCGATCACGACGTCGTCGCTGCGGCGGAGGGCCGCACGCTCGGCGGCCTTGGCCGCCAGCACGCGCGCGTACTGCTGCAGGGGCGCAGACTTGGCGGCGGCCTCCGTAGAAAGGAAGGCGGCCACCTGCGTGATGTCCTTGGGGCTGAACTCCACGGCATCGCGGGCTCGCCCGACAAAGGCCACGTTGCGGTCGATCGCATCGATCAGCTGCTTCCCGCTCCGCCTGCGCGTATGAGTGATCAAGGGTGCCAGCCGATGATGTGGTGTTGCTCGTTGGGTCTGGAGCGCTGAAGGGCTGTGGGAGCTGAGCTGCCCGTTGCATTGGATGAAGCCGATGCTGCCAGGCCCAGTTTTGCCAGTGCTTGCACAATCGTATGGAGGCTCGACTGGCCGGCCCAAGTCCCCCAACCCCCCCTTCAACCCCCCCTGGTCTCACCCACCCAACACCAACCTGAAGCGGTCGACGGGGCAGTTCTTGACGAACCTGCGCAGGGAGACGGTGGTGAGGTGCGCCAGCTCCGGGAAGGAGACGTGGCACGCCCACTGTGCCAGGTGCTGCGTCAGCAGCTCCAAGGTCTGCGCCACGATCTCCTCCTGGAAGGCCGCGTCGCGGAGCAGGGTCTTGGGCGCCCTCAGCACCAGGGCAGGGTCGAAACCGGAGTCGGCCCCCCTCCCTGCCGGCCGGGCAAGCTCCGGCCAGGCCAGGATCTCCAGGAGTAGGGGGGCGACGGGGACGAATGCCCCGGACGCCGCGCTCAGCGCGCACAGCGCGCGCACGCAGCGCAGGCGCAGGGGAAAGTAGGAGGGCGTCGGCAGCAGGCCGGCCACGCCCAGCGCCAGCTGGGCGACCGGGTAAGAAAGCGCAGCCAGGTCGTTGGCCCCCGCGCCGCCTTTCCCCTGCGCCGCGCGGGTGGCGGCGGCGGCCAGCACGCGCGCCCAGAGCTCTATGCAGTTGACGGTCTGCCAGCAGTACACCTCGCGGTACGCGTCCTTGGATTTGGTGGAAAGCGCGCCGCGCAGCAGCACCGCCAGCGCGCGGATGGCCTCAAAGGCGTGCTGGTAAGACGCGGCTGCAGGGGAATGTTGCAGGGAGAGATGGGGCATTGGTGGCGGGAAGATGGTGGGGTGCGGCATGCTGTCTCGTGCCACCGACCGCCGACGGGAAGGTGGCGATCTGATACGTCGAATGGCCAAATCCCCTGGATCCAACAACTTGAGGACAGAAGTCTGCCTGCACATCCCTCTCTCCATGATACCCCCCAAACTCCAAACCTTGCCCGCCCCACCTGGGTCGATGCTGTACAGCTCCACCACCGCGGCCCCCATGAAGTCGATGGCCGGCAGGGAGGAGGCGTTGACAAACTTGGCGTTGGCGGCAAAGGCGCGCGCCACTCCCTTGAGGCAGGCGTCCAGGGTGGACCCCCCCAGCGCCAGCGCCGCGCCGCGCACGAAGAGCACGGCCTGCACCCTGGCGGCCGCGTCCGCGCTGCCAAACAGCCCCAGCGCGGCCTTCAGAGAGCGGCGCCGGATCTTCTCGTACGGCGCCAGGAACACTACGGAGGCGCGCGCCCGGCGCAGGATGTACGCCAGCATGGCGCCGTCCGTCAGGTGACCTGGGGGGGGGGGGAGGGGGATAGTGAGGGCGGCTGAGTTGGGATGGTCTCCAGATGAAGGCAGTGTGGGGGTGAAAGTAGGAAAACGAAAGCAAGCACTGAGTGGCAGCAGTGAATGCTTGACAGCTGCGAGAGAATGTGCAGTTCTGGGCTGGGGCGTGGGCAGCACCGCCTGCGCCCGCCGATGGACACATGCACGTTCCAAAGGTCACAAAGCCCAGGGGACTCCTGGTCACTCTAGGCTACATACGACTCCGAGGCGGGCTGGGGAAGCATTGAGGCACCGCCAGGGATTTGACTTGAGCCGGAGCAGGGCAGGGGTTGGGTGAGGGGCCCAGAGTAAAACGGCTTTCCCGCAGGACGACATCCGTCTGGTGACGACATAGAAACGTACAACCCAGCTCAAACCAGTCCAGTCCAGTCCCAGATGCCATCCACCCCGGATCATCCAGAAACCAGTACCAAAGACTCATCGAGTGTCAACCTAGGAGGTGCAGGGTGTTGCCCAGGTACGACTTGATGAGGGGCTCCACCTTCTTCCAGCGGGGGAGCTTGGTGAGGGAGGCAGGGCGCAGGGTGGAGGTGGCATCCACACCCAACAGCCTCCTGAACACCCCGTCAGCCTCTTTCTGCAGGAGCATGATGGGGATGGGCCGACGAGGGATGGGTGGTGCAGGGGACCGATTGTGGTGGTAGGGCTGCCGCCCCGGCCCAGTGCATGCATGGGGCAGTTTGGTGACTCCACAAGGGTGAGCAAAGGGTTCCATACACACACCATGGCAGACCTGGCGAGCCCCCCGACACCCTCCTCCCACGCCCGACGGGCACGCACCAGCATGAAGAGCATGATGCGGTTGAAGAGGGCAGAGGATGCGATCTGCAGCCCCGCCTCCCCCGCCTCGTCGCTGTCGCCGTAGTGACAGGCAGCCCTGTATGCCTGCGCCAGATGGCGCATGGCCCCCAGGGATGGCCCCGCCAGCGCCGCCGCCGTCCAGCCTTGGACCAGGGACAGGGTGAGGGGACCCTTGGTGGGGAGCCCGGCGACGGCCTCCTCTGCCCCGGCAGCAGAGGTCCCCTTCTTCTTCTTGTCCCTGGGCGCCTCGTCCTCATCCTCGTCACCCTCGGCCTCCTCGTCATCCTCCTCCCCTTCTTCCTCCTCGTCATCTTCGCTCACGTCGTCGTCACTCTGACCCTCCTCGTCAGAGCCAAAGTTCAGGAGCCCGCTGTCCGCTTCCTGTGCAGTACAGAATAATGAGGGGGAAATCGTTGGGCAGCTGGGCGCAGGGAAAGAGCCGTGCAAGGTCGAGCAGGGGGGATGAAGAGTACGCCAAGTCTGTCTTCATTCAAGCTTTGAACCCCCTCCGACCCTCCATTGTTGGCCTCGGTCCTGGAGATGCTGCCAAGAACACCCAACCCCCGGTCACCTGGAGATACTTGTAAAACTCAGGGTCCTTCTCCCGCAGAGCCTCCAGCTCCGCCTTGTGGGAGGCAACCGCATTCGCGAGCTTGGCCGAGGAAGCAGCCAGACCAGTGCCGTCGTCGGCCTCCTCATCGCTCGAGCTCTCATCTGCCTCCTCCAAGGCCGCAGTCGCAGCAGGAGCGACCTTTTCCTCCTCCTCATCGGATTCAGATGCGGCTGCATTCAAGTCCCCAGCCTCGCTGCCGCTGCTGGATGAGTCACCTTCGCTCATCTCCTCCGCCCCGCCTTCGGGCAGGAAATCCCCGGACAGGAACTCGTCGATATCAAGCTCCTCGACATTCTTCTCCTCAGCTGGCTTGGGGTCTGCAGGGGCGGAGACATACAATGCTCGTCACTGCTCTTTGCACCTCCCAGTGTGTCGAGGAGAACATGGGCCCACTCCCCTTGGGCAAGAGGCACAGCCCACCACCCGAGGTTGACGGGTGGATAGGGATGCCACCCTTTATGACGATCGATGCTTGTGATATTATACCCGGTCCGTGCCCCAGCTCAAGGGACGTCGCACCTGCTGCAGAGGCTGGAAGGTCCCGCTTGCGATTTACACTCTGCAGGTGCTTCCGGCGCTTAATGGTGCCCTGCAGGTGCTTCGCCTCAAACTTCCGTTGCCTCTTCCCCTTGGGCATCGCACTCCGCTATCCAACGGCCAGCAGCTGGGGGCCCAGGCCTGAACGAGGGACTCGATGTCGCTGCCTCCCACCGTACTGATGCGTGGTGTATATTGACGCACGGGCCACTTCTTCCCAATCAAACTTCAAAGATTGATATATGTTTAAGACCCTTGAAAGCGCATGCATGCATGCATCGGGCGGAACACCAACTGGCCATGGGAATGGGCAGCCAGAGACCCCGCACGCATTTCACGGACTCGAGTGTTGTGTTCTGGCTGACACCAATATTCACACCAGCACACACTGTAGGGCGATTATCAAGGTTCCCATGTCCCCTTGGTGAATTTCCAAATGGATGCTCCCACTCAAGATGCCTCACTTTACCCAATCAATTATGTGCATGGCCGGTCATCTGTTAAGAGTGAAAGCTAGAGGGCCAGTCACAACAACATCCAAGGCAAAATCGTCGCTTCAATTGTATCATACATTTTCTTGTCATCATATTGGGATCAGGTTGTGGCATACCCTCAACATCGGGCCGCTTGTGTAAATCTTCCCACTCCTCGATATCCGCGAGTCGAGCCAGCGCGCCCTGTCCGAGGGGTGGGATCACTTCACATTGCACCCCCTCCAGCACCCAGATTCGGAGCCCATGGGTCAACGATTTACCATAACACCACCCTTCCCGAGTTTATGAGACCAGGGTGGAGACTTTTCCTGCGTGGATGTTGGCGCTGCTGAGGTCCACAGGCGCACCTTCCTTGTCGCGAGTACCCCCCCGGTGCGCGCCGGAGGGCCGAGCGACGGCCGCTGCGTCCGCCATGCAAATTATCTAGGCCTAGGGATGACATGTAGTCATGTACTTCTCAAGCACACGCGCCGAGGCGTCGCGGGCCTAACCCCCACGTTAACACCCCCCCTCCCCTCTGGCCCCCCAGGTTCCCCGCAGTTGCGGCGCTGTCCAGCGCGCCCCTGGCCATGGCCGCCCCCCGGCCTCCCCCCCCAACCGCCTCCTCCGCCTCCTTCGGCACGGCCAGCAGCGGGGGCTCGCTGCCCATCTGGGAGCCCTCCGCCTGCCTGCCCCGGCTGACGCGCGTGCTGAACGCGCGCGACCTGGCCGAGGCCCTGCCCGCCATCAGACCCGGCCGCATCTTCCGCTCCGGCAGCCCCTCCAACGCGTCGCTGGAGGACGCGCTGCTCCTGCGTCGCGACCTGGCCATCCAGCAGTTTGTGGACTTCCGCTCCTCCTCGGAGCTGGCGGAGGACACCGCCTGGCCCCTGGTGCTGTCCAACGGCGTCATCAAGACCTACGACAGCTCGGGGCGGGTGAGCGAGGTGGTAGTGGACCGCAACCCGGAGCTGGCGGGGCACGGCTGCGACGCCTTTCCCGCCGAGCTGCACCGCCTGTCGCTGCTGGAGCGCAACAAGTTCATCCGCGGCCTGCTTCCGCGCTTGCCCTACCGCGCGGTGGCGGCGGCGGCCTGGTACAAGCTGGTGGGGGACGAGGTGGCCATGCGCGGCGCTGTGGTGCCCGTCATCAACGCCGGCGGCCTGCTGCTCATCTACCAGATCCTGCTGGAGACGGCCAGCGTGGAGCTGGCGCGCACGCTGGAGGTGGTCGCGGCCGCCGCCGCCGAGCGCAAGCCCCTCCTCTTCTTCTGCAAGCTGGGCAAGGACCGCACGGGGACGGTGGCCGCCCTGGTGCTCACCGCCTGCGGCGCCAGCCGGAATCAGATCGTGGCAGACTACGCGCGCTCCGACGGCGTGAACGAGGTGGCGCTGGGCGGCATCGAGCGCATGGAGGACGTGCAGGGCATGGACTCCGCCATCTTTGCGTCTGCGCCCGCGGAGTGCATGGAGGCCCTGCTGGACCACGCACAGGAGGCCTACGGCGGCCTTGCCAAGTATATGACGGGGATCGGGTTTGGGGAGGAGCGGCAAGCCGCGCTCCGGGAAGCCCTGACGGGAGGCGACTGGTGATGAGGCATGCTTTCGTGTGCAGAGTGGCGTGCGGGTGAAGGCGTTGGAATGTCGACTCTGATGGCGCCCGGCAGGGTCGTTCCGAGACCTGCAAGGCTCGAAAGTCACCCAAGCCCGGCGTGCGCCTTGTCTTCCCCCTGACACGGGTCTTTGCCGGAGGTGAAGCCCCTCTTTGTGGAGTGCTGGTGCCTGATGGCCCGGCACTCTGGGCCACTGTGCACACAAATGGCAGAAAGACTGTCATCCCCCCAGTACACCTTCTGGCTCAGCCATTGCTGCGGTGCCGCTCTTGATATCTGTCCCTTGATCACCTACTTGAGGGCCTTCAGCAGCCAACCCCAGGCCCCTTTTGGAGAGGTTGCCCCTTTGATGGCCGTGATGTACACTTCACAGAATGACACATACCGTGGCACCAAGAAGGACACCCAGAGGACCCTGACACATGAAGGGGTCCATTGTGAACCCAAAATTGAGTGCGAGCACAATTCTGCCCGAGTGGCACACACCTGGTCTGCCATTGAAATGCGCCTGGCCTGTTCTTGCACGGTGGCTGATGTGATGGAAGAGAAAAGATTTCAGACCCCTCACGCAAGGCTTTGGCAGATACAAGGAGCCATGCATACGTCTGTCTGCCTCACATGACGAGGAGTCAACACAGCATACCAGGCTGGAAATGGGCAAATGTGCAATGACGAGGCGTGCAAAACCGTCACAAGACTGAGGGAGCCTCTTGGGTTGCCACGCTGGTTCACTCAAGCAGCAGCGAGAGGCCCTCCATTGGCTAAGCATGCTCCCGGCCAAGGGAAGCTATAAGACCCATGGGCTCTTCTTCGTTCTCACATCGCGTTTTCGGGTCGTTCTGCGATGCAGAGAGGGAATCGATGCGAAGTGATGGGCTTGATGAAGCAGGGTTAGGTGGACACACATGGGCTTGTGCTCCTGATGGCAGGAACACTTCAAATACAAGGTGGCCTGCCAATCTGGACCCTCCTCTGGCACCCTCGCACTCAAATCCTCACTGCCTCCTCCTTGCCCACTTCCAAGCTTGTATTCGCCCCTCACCTTCCTCCCATGGACCCAGAGATCCCAGGACATCTCTGCGCCCAAAGCTCTGGCGCCGCCAGTCCCCATCATCGCTCCGCTTTCTTGGTGCCGTGGCGATGTCAGGGAGCTCCGTGTGCGGCCACGCGGCCTCCGCGCTCCCTTTCATCGGTCTGCCTCGCTGCCCGCCGGGCGCCCACTTGCCCTCATCCTCCCCCGCCTCGCCGGCGCCCTCCTCTTCCTGGCCCAGCTCGTAGGGCGTGAGGAGGCTGGAGGGGTCGTGGGCCCTCCAGGACTGGCGGGCGCCGGGGTCCCGTGGAGTGCGGCCCCCGGCGTGCCTCTCTGCGCCCGGGAGCTGGATGGGGGTCAGCGGGGGGTGCGGCTCCTCCACCGCCGCCGCCATGGGCGGCGACTCCAGCTCCTCGGCTGGTGCCCTGTGGTCTGGCCCGGCCAGCGGCCTGTGCGGCCTTTCCACGACCACAGCAGCCTCCTTCATCGCCGTGCCGCGCGGCACGTGGAGGTCCACGGAGTCCCTCCCGCGTTCGGTGCCCAGCTCCAGCGAGCGCCCCGCCCGGGAGGTGAAGCCGCCAAAGTAGGGGGGCGCGGCGTAGCCGTCCATGGAGTCGCGCGGGGCCTGGCGGGGGCCGGGGGCGGGGGCATGCCTGGCAGGGCGCTCCACCTCGCCCTCGGAGTCCAGCTCCTCGACGAAGAAAGGGTGAGCGGGCGCCGTCGGGCGGGCGTGGAAAGCGGCAGAGTCCAGCAGCTCTCGCGTGGTGCCCTGTGGCGAGGGGGATGTTTGGAAAGGATGGAAGGTGTGAACGAGCGCATGATCATATGGCCCGGTGGGAGGGAGTGGAAAGGCACGATCGGATCTAGGTGCCGTGCAGGCACCTTTCAGAAAGGAATGTCGACACAACGTCTTGCGTGCCACGAGACCCCCTCAGAGCTCCTTCCGACCCCTTACCCAGCAAGGCTACCCCTCCACCCAGCCACGCCCTCCCACCTGCCGCCTTGTGGCGACCATGACTTCCAGGACGCGGGGACTCCCGTCGTCGTGGAAGACGACCTGCTTCCCGGCACGCCGGCTCGGATACCGGGAGGCGCTGGCTGATGGGCCGCCCGGGGCGGGGCTGATGCGGGTGCGGGCATAGTACGCCCAGTCATAGTTGGGCGGGGAAGGCGACGAGCTGACGGGAACGGCCTGCCTTGTTGGGATGCGCTGGTCCTCGGGGGTGCCTGGAGCTGAGTAGATCACGTTGGGATGCACGGTGTAGGGCCTCTGGGCGGCTTCGGGGGACATTTCAGTCGCTCCCGCACCCGCGCCGGCTGGGGCTGGCGAGTACCTGAGAGGGAAGGGTGGCGATGCCGGGTGTGCTGCTTGCAAGGTGTCATGTGAGCCAGCACTGACACTGGCGACGCAGGAAGGTTTGCGCCGCACACCCTACTGGGGTGCCCGAACTGTCCAGCCCACCCGCTGCAGCGTTGCCTACCCACCGGGTGCTGTTCCTCTCATGCCCAATATGCAGCCACCATCCCATGAACCCAGGCATCAAGTGACCCATCGCACCATGGTAGTCGGGGCGGGTATGGCGGGGGACTGGGCGCTCCCCCGTCAGCGCTTGTCTGAGGCTGGGCCTCGGGCTGGCGTCCCCACGCCGACCAAGCGGGCTGGGCTTGTTGTGGAGGCCGGGACCCAGACCCGCTGCTCCCCGGCGATTCCTGGAGGAGGGACGCCAGTAGGTGTTGGACGCCACACAACTGCTCTTGCTGCGGCCATGCTTTGTAGATGAAGCCGTGATGCCTGTGAGACACATCACACTCCAGCTGGCACTGACCCTGGTCGGCACCCTCTCATGTGCTTGATGGCCGCAGCCACCCTCACCTGCGGTACACAGGCGCCATAGTAGGGCACGATGCTGTTGGAAGGGGGGCCGCCGGCTTTCTCTACGTCTTTCTCTGCCGAAGACCTCCGCTTCCTCCGGGCCAGCCAGAAGAGCAGCATCCCAATGGCTGTGGGTTGGGACAGGTCAAGCCCATGACTTGACACAAGCAGTGGCAAGTCACGCAGTGATCCCCCATGTAAGTAATGGATGAAGGAGGATGCATACGTTGTTTTTGGAAAACACCTGGCGATGATCGGCCTCCACATGCCCTACCAGCTGCACAACAGGTTCCCAAACACCTACCCGCCCCTAGGAGGAGAGCCCCGCCTATGCCGGCACCCAGCGCGATGTACAACGCCGTATTCTGCCCCTCAGTGGGAGGGCTGGGGGACGGTGCCTGATAAGTGACGGGTGATGGGGAGGTCTCCACCGGTGATGGGCTTGGGGATGGGGACGGCGAGGGGGGCGGACTGAACGGTAGGAGGGGGACCATGTCGAACTGCTGGAGCTCGCGGGCGGAGAACTGCCCATCATCCAGTACGGGTTGCAGGGACCCCAGACTCGGTCTGGATGGCATTGCAATGTCTGCAACGCTACTGTCGCGATTCTCATTGGGCTGCAGACCGCTTATAAAGCCTGCCCTGGTGAGCACTAGCAGGGCGAGAACGAGACAGGCGGGAAGCCTCCGGCGACCATTCGAGGCACAGGGCGGCATGGTTCCTGGCTCGATGGGTCCCTTCAGTGCATCCTCGATTGGCGGAGTGCGATCAGACCGCACATTCAGATCGGAATGGTTGCTTCGCGGGTCTGCCATGTTCGTACTTTCTGATTCGATCGTGGCGACAAGTAGTACAATGAAACCCTAGAGGCGCTTCCGAAGGGAATGGCCCGAATGCTCGGCATGAGGCTTGGAAAAAACTCCTGTACTCTAATTCATAAGTCTATAAATCATCCTGAGGTGACTCCGATGCGATCGCATGGCTCCTTCGGGTGTGCACCTTGCGCGCCGATACATTTTCGTGCATCGTACAGCGGCAGGTGCAATGTCAATCGCCCGCCCGCGGCGAGTCCCTCTCAGATCCCGGCTTCATCACAAACCAGTACATGCTTGCGCGTGTGTTATTCAAAGTACTGCAAGTCCAAGTCAGCATCTTGATCATCAGTCTATGAGGCCAGGCCACGGCATGGAGGCAGCGACATCGCCGTGGGGAGAGGCGACCGCCTGAAAGGCTCCCAGGTGCACACTCGCACATGGGGCAGCCCCACAAGGAGTTGTATAAAGGAACAAGGGGGTACTGGATGGCGCGATGCAAGCGCACAGCCATCATCACATTGGACATGCGGGATTCATAAAAGGGTCAGGGTGTGTGTTCTCCTACTGCGTCAGCTGGAAGATGTTTTGGAGATGCCTGAAAATCATGCATCGAAATGCTTGCGTACCAGCACATCCCGCCGGTGAAAGCTGTACTGCTCCCAGACGTCGTCGTCGCCGGCGAGATGCCCCGCATCCTTGGGCCCTGACTCTGGCAGATCCCTGGTGGTCGATTGGTTCTTGCCGCCTCCTGTCCTCCCTGCGCCGATGGAATTGCTCTCCCAGCCTTCCAGCGGGCCAGGGGACGAGGCAAAGTATGCCGCCGGGCTGTCCCAGTCCCCGCCGCCCTCGCTGTAGGGGGTCAGCAGGCTGCAGGGATTGTGGCTGCTGGCGGTGGAGGCGCGCAGGGGCTTGTGGCCTGGAAGGAAGAGCGACACCGCGCTCCCCGGGTCTGGTAGGGGGGTGGGCGGCTCCCACGGGCCGTCAGAGCTGGAGGTGGAGAGCTGGGAAGGTGCCTCCGGCGGGGACGGCGCGACCTTCTGGCCCGGGGGCAGAGGGGCGGGGCCGGCCCCGCTGTTTGGCAGGGGCCAGCCAATCGGGGCAGGGGCCCTTGCGACCCCATCCTGCCAGGCCTTGGCCGGCCTCGCCGGGGCAGGGGGCACTTGAAGGGGAGCAGCGGGTGCTGGATGGGACACGGGGGGGCCAGAGGGGACGCCAGGCGCCTTGGCCATGGGGTCTGCAGGCGCTGCATGGTGCAGCGACCCCGCCACCTCCCCCGACTCGCGGATGCTGAGCACGCCGGAGGTGCCGCTGTCCCGCATCGTCCTCCAGTCCTGCCACGGCGCCTGCTGGGAAGCGAGAACAAGGTATGATGAGTGACAAGGTGGTCGGGGGACGACGTGTGCATCGCCTGCTTCAGCAGCACCCGTGATGCCCCAGGATGTTACCACTGCGAAAGACTCTGGCTGCAAAACTTGGAACCCATCCCCGCTTCCCCAACATCAAGTAGACAAGCCTTGCCTGGTGAGTCGGCATGCTGGGGTGGGTGGGTGACAGACCGGTCTGGGGGGCCGCGGGCGGGAATGGCTGCGTCTCGGGCGCGCCTCGGTACACGGGGGAGACCGGTCCGATACGCGCGACGTCGTCCATCGAGTCCCGGGCCCTCAGCTCCTTGCGACGGCAGGTTGGTGAAATGTGACGACTTGAAGTCGACGTCGCAGCCACGGGGTCTACCCAGGTCCGTACATAGAATGCACTCCACCATGCAAGACCCACCTCTGGATCATGGGCGGCGCCGTTCGCCCCGCCAGGCCCCCTCCGCCCCGTGCTGCCGGTCCAGGCATGGACCCCGCCGCCCGGGCTTCGCTCCGGCTCCCGGAACATCACCCGCTTCGCCCTGGTGGCAGCGCGGTGCCCGGCCCGTGGCCCCCTGTCGGGCGAGGGCGCGACCGGGCTGGGTGGCGAATAGCGCCGCTCCGACTCCCCCGGCGAGGTCAGGCTGGAGGGCACGGGGCTCAGCTCGATGTCGGACAGGGGCAGCGCCTCGGGGTCAAACGCGCCGTTCAGGCGCAGGCTGGGCCGCTCGGGGCTGTACACCACGCTGTGCACGCTGGACAGGGAGCTGGCCAGGCTGCGGGGCACCATGCGAGCCCTGGGGTGGAGGGGGGGAGGGGGGGTGCAGGGGGACGAGGGAGGTGATGCGGAGAGGGGTTTGATGGCGCCGAGAACAGGTGCCCGTGTCAGAGGGTAGGAGCATGCGAGTCAGCGTGTCAGCGGCCGCTTTGCGGTGACCGGCGTGCTCTCACGGTCATCACATACCCAACACTGCTCACCACTTGGGACGCAGGTTCTCCTTGGCCGCCTCCTCCTCCTGCATGCTGGGGGTGCTGACGAGGTAGGGCAGGGCGCGGGGCCCCTCCGGCCCCGGCTCCAAGCTCGGCTGACTGGCAGAGTCCAGGGGCCCATGCAGGGGCTGTGAGTGGGGCAGGGCGTGGGAGACAGGGGCTGAGGTCGACACAGATGGCTGAGGGCTGGGGTGGGGAAACATGGACAGACAAGCAGATCGTGCTTACCTCCTGTCCACATGGTACAGGACATGTACGGCTCATGCAGAGGCCTCACCCCGCCCTTGGCCCAACCTCACCGTGGCCTTGTCAGAGAAGGCATCCCTGTTCCGGCCGTTGCTGCTCTGCCAGTCGTGCGGGGGCACATACGGGACGATGGCATCGGAGGACTTGTCGCCCTCCGAGACGGCGGCAGGGGGCCGGCGCCGCATGCAGCGATAAAAGAGCAGCCCGATGGCTGTGGGGAGGGGGATTAGAGTTGTGAGGGCCGTGGCCTAAGGCTTGTCACAACATACAGCAGTGGTGCAATCCAAGGCCTCGTTCCTCCTGGTGGAACGCAGGCAGGGAAGGTGCAACCTGTCCAATGCCCAGCCCTTCACTCCCCCCCACTCACCGGTGCCCAGCACCAGGGCGCCGCCAATGCCGGCGCCCAGCGCAATGTACAGCGTCTGGTTGGTGCCGGGGTCCGAGGCCGGCGCCCCCGCGGCCGTCGCGGCCGCCGGGGTCGGCGGCGATTGCCCCTCGCTCCCACCGCCCTCCGGCGACGCCAGGGCGGGGCTCTGCTCCAAAGCCGTGGGGGATGGCGGCGGCAGCAAGAGGGCCACCTCCGAGGGCGGGTCTGCCGCGCCCTGTTCGGGCGAGGCGGCTGCCTGGGCGAGGTCCACGCGCTGCCGGCCAGCCTGGGAGGATGTGGCCAGGCCAGCCCGTGGGGCCTGGTCCAGCACCGCGCCGCTGCCCGGCCCCAAGATTGCCGCAGCCGCGAAGATGGGCGGGCAGGCGGTCCGGTACAGGATGACGTCCAGGGGGGCAGGGGGCGGGAACGGCAGGTGCCACCGCCGGTCGGTGCGGCCCAGCAGCCGCCGCCATGCGTGGTCGGCCGCCGCCTGGGGTTTTATTTGTGGGATGGGGAGGTGTGAGGTGGTGGGGGTCAAAGTGGTGGGGCTGGTCAGATGGTGGGATATAAGCCGGCTGGGGCACCGAGGGTCCTGCCCTGAGCAGGTTTCCAAGCCACTGCCTCCAACGACGCTGCAGGCCATGGAAGTCAGGCACAGGCAGATTGAGATCACGGCGCGACGCACCACTGGCAACAAGGAGGCCTGGTCCGAGGTGTTGACCGAGGTCCGTACCCATATTTGAGCATGTTTCAGCAGATCAGGTCCGGCCTGGGGTGGGGAGAGGGTGTGCAGGCTTTCGGCCATGGGTCCCCTTGGGTGCCAAACAGGCTGGCCAAAGGGGGGAAGTTTCCCGGAAATCTGCGGATTTAGGGTGGCTGCTCCCGCCCTCGACACGGGACCCCACTCACGCTGGTGAGGTTGAGCATGAGCTCCCCTCCCCACCCCATCTCGTAGTCTGACACATTAAGTGTCACTGGGAAGGCGGTGCACGGGTCGTCCTGCCAGGGCGCGGGGATCGCGTGAGCGGGGGCGGGCGAGGTGGCAAATGCCGGGCAAGGGTCACTTGGCCCCAGTCCGTCTTCCTTATGACACACAACCGCGCCCAGCCAATACAGTTCAACCATCATGCCGCTCAATACTGACCAGCGCTGCTCGGGCGTGACCGAAGAGGCTGCAAATGCACAGGGCGGCAAGCACGCCGATACGGGTTCGGCGCAACCAGCCGGGCTCCATGGCGTTCTCCTGAGCAAGGGCAAATGCTTGTGCTGATGTACGCCTTACCCCCGCGCAAGGGCATTGTGAAGGGAAAGCCAAGCTGTCATGTGCGTAACAACAGGTCAGCAATGCAGTGGAAACTGCGTCATGGGGATCCCCGGCAGTATGGCAAGCAGGAATTCAAAATGACGACCTCACCAGGCGACGATGCGGGTCTGTCCAAACGTCATGAATCCATGATCTTACATCACAGCTAGAATTCGACGCATGTGATAATTTGTGCAGCGGCATGAAGCCGGCACAGGAACTCCCTCCCAAGTCCGGGAACGAGTCGGCTGCCGCCCATGAAGCCCAGATCGGGGCATAGGGGCGGGAAGGAGTTGAAGGGTTCTCGTAAACCACACAACGGCCCGCCTTCTAAGCGACGATTTCGCAGGAGCCTTCGAGGTGCTTCTTTCCGCACAAGCTAGCCCACCATGGCCCGCTTGCGGCCCCTCGCGCGGACTGTGTGGTGGAGGCGGTACGATCGTTCCCGTGGCCTCCGGGTGATTGTCTGGGGCGAGGACCATTGACCGGCCATACACACTCCCACCCACGTCCCCCTCCCTCACCTTCCGCAAATCGGTTCAGCGTCGCGCTCCAGAACTTGGAAGATCGGCGATACGATTGCAGAACGACATCAAACTGCAGGAAGGGTGGGTGGCATGATTTCTGCGAGGGATTCTACTATGGGAGATACGGGTTGAGACATGAACAGCATGCGTCTGCAGCTGGCGGGCCTCCCATCACCAGGGAAGTGCTGGCAGTGGGACAGGGGATGCGCAGGGTCAAGAAATTTACCCCATCCGCGATGCTCACCAGCTCTGGACCCTTCTCTGCGTGGGCGCTCAAGAAGGCACGTTCCAGGACGTATAGATCCACCCCCTTGTCCTCGGGCAGGGATGAGTTCTGGCTGAGCCCAAAGTCTATGAGAACCTGGGCAGGGCATGTGATTGTTGTTGTTATGATCAGTCTGGTCAATAGCCATGCTTTAGCACTGGAGATTGGCCACTTTCAAGACACACCTTGCTTGTCCAATGCAGCAAAATACAGCCCCTGCACCCAGCAGGCGAGCCTTGCATGCAGTATTGCCCCACCTGTACAGCCATCCCCCCACCTCACCAGCTCGTTGTTACCCCCCACCCCCCACCTCACCAGCTCGTTGTTACCCACGGTCCTGACCACCATGTTGCTCGTGGTCAGGTCGCCGTGCACCAGCCCCGCGTCGTGCAGCTTGGCCACGGTCTGGCCAATGCCTTGCAGCAGCGCATTCGTGGCTGTGTTGGGTGTTGCAGGCGGGCTGGATGGTGTGGGGGGGAGCCTGCATGAAGCACTGGCTCACGAGGCATCCATGCGTGGGACATGGCCGCGCAGGAAGCGAACGAGTACCTTTGGAGGCCGCACTGCTTGTGACACACACTGAAGACAGGTTTCCAGCAAGCTCCACGACCAGCATACCAACCTCGGGAGCTTCACCTGCGTCGTCCATGCTCTGCGAGTGCAGGATATGCTTGACAGAGCTACCCTCCAGGCGCTCCATGTATATGCAGGCTGTCGCTGTGTCTACGTGGAAGAGGACGGGGGTGGACACCCCCAGTTTCCGGGCCTTGAGCAGGCCCCTCACTTCCTGGGAGCAAGAAGGGGAAGGGAGAGCAAGTGGTAGCATGGGGGGGACAGTTCGAAGAACTACCCTTATCCAGCTGGTGTGCAAGGACCATCAAGGGGCTGCCCTTGCTGAGGTGCCCAGCAGACCCACGTCCTTCTGGCAACTGCAGGGCTCAGCACTGAGGTGCCCGTCTGCCGCTGCACCGACCTCGCACCGCTTTGAGCCGCTGCTGTGTGAGCTTCGCATCCAGAGCTGGATGACGGTACGCCTTGGGGAAGCGTTGCTTCACGACCACAGGGCGCTGCAAGAAGGTGCCAGTCCACACCCTCTGGCAAATAATGGACGGGGGAGTGGAGACTTGTGGTCCTGTTTAGGTAACAAATGCTGCATACATCCAGTCCGATGACGTGCGTCGACTCACAGCTTCAGCCCCTTGGCTCAACAGCTCGAATCGGGATGAATCGAAGCTGGGTCCTGCCACGGCTTGGACCTCCGCCTCCACCATGTCGACGCTCCGCCGCAGGGAGTATATCTACAACGACGCCATCTGCATTACGAGTGATGTAGAGTAAGCAAGGAGTCGAGCCAAGATCGTCATTCCCACCGTGCCTGCAGCTAATGTACGAGAGCACTGCGCAAGGAAGGACATGGCGCGCGCGCTGCATTGTTTCACTGTAGGTTGACAGTGATTGGATAGTACTGTCAGACCAATGCGACCCAGACAAACATCTCGATGACATCTCAATCCCAGATACTTTCAAAGAACTACAGGATGAGCTTGGTGGACTCTGCCGAGTTTCATATGGGTTTTCATGTCGATCGATCAAAGTACAATGTCCCAGCCATACAGCCAATCCACGAGGGCAGGACACTCTCACGTCCTAACTGATATTGCAGAGTCACATTTCCCAGCATTACTTCAACAAAGGAAATTTAATCGCATCAAAGTGGGTCCCTTTACCTCTTTGCAGCATTCTTATTGTGAGTCTTTGAGTTTGGTACTGCCACCGGCGCGCGGTACTCCATGAGCATCTGCACCCACAGCCAACGGGCCTTATGGCCGAGCCCAGCGCCTTGACTCCCTCTCTCGCTCTCTAGCCCTTCCTGGATTTTGATCATTGGTAATCGCAAACCTTCGATACTATGGCGACTGAGGTGCGTGGGTCGCAGTGGAGGTTGGCGCATGCCGTCTTGCGCTGCACCGAGCACGTGCAGAGGAATGATGCTGACCTGCATCTGCAACTGCATATAACAATTACATACCGAATTCACCCTCGTAACCTTCTTCCCCTCGCAGACCACCTATGTGAGTTGGAGATCAGCGCCGGTCTTATGGGTTGAGAGCTCGACCGCCGGGTCCTGGCATCCATCCGCCATCGTGTTGCCACCACGCCCACTCTTCCCACCTACCCCTCTGCGCAGGTGATGATCAAGCCTGACGGCGTCCAGCGCGGTCTGGTCGCGCCAATCCTGGAGCGCTTCCTGAGCAAGGTGGGGCCAGCAAGCAGGGCTGCCAAGGAGGGGCGGGTTCCTGCAAGGTGTCGCTGACGTTAGCAGAGGGTTTCCAATCCGTGCAAGCCCCTCTCAATCTGCCCTCCCCCAAAAGGGCTACACCCTGCGTGGCCTCAAGTTCCTGAACGTGTCCAAGGAGCACGCCGAGCGCCACTACGCCGACCTCTCCTCCAAGCCCTTCTTCGGAGGTGGGGAACTTGGTCCGGGGTGTGGCAGATGCATTCTGTGTGAGCGGCGCTACCCGAGGAACGGCACACACAAACACACAAACACACACAAACACCCACACACCATCTCCTTGCCG